AATATGTTAAAGAAAAACTTGAATGAACAAAATATCAAATATTGTTTTTCAAGCTAATTATTCAAGATAGTTTATGAAGCATGATTAAAAAAGAATATTGAAGTATGGAAGTAGAATTTAGGACTATTGAAATCTCTCCGGGACCGTGAATAGACACCTTGGCAACAGCTCATCACAAACTACAAACACATAGTCACAATATCGAAGGCTACTTAGAAATTATTATGAAAGACGATTAAATTCAAGACTGCTGTCTTTTGCTCATTTTTCTAAGGAACTGTGATATAATTATTAGATGGACTATAAATAGTTAGACGATCAATGACATAACTGCCCACACTCTTATATGGAAAAACAAACAGTATTTTCGATTTGGTCGACTTATGGTTTCGGCTTTGAAAAATCTACTCATACGATTCGATAGAGCTAATCAAGTTGTAGTTAGATCAAGAATTGAAATTCTAGAGCAAATTCCTAGGCGAATGTAGACTACTTTTACTCAAATTGGGTCTTGACTTCACATACGTTTTAAAAATCTAGATATGGAAGTGGAATTGCTTCTCTTATAAGCCATATATATATATCGATAATAACGCTGGCATAAGTATTGCCAACTTAGTTTTTCTTAAACACTTTTTCGATAAAATATACAGGTATATGGTTACAGAATATTATGAGCAGGAGGAAAGCTTTTCTATCTTCTCAAGAAATCAGTTTCATTACTCATTAAAAATTAGTCTGCTGAATTCAATTATGAGATTGTTTTGAAAAGAATAAACTTACTGCAAACCACTGATGTTCAACAAAGATAAGAAGCTATCTTTACGTTCACTGACTAGAAATATTGTTGTATAAAGAAATATCAGATAAAAAACGAATCTAAATAAATAAAAACAAAAAAAGAAGGATGAATGAAATGTTTATTTTCTTTCCATTGAGATTACTTACACATCTAATATAAGTGAAGCTGGTAAAACCTTCAGATAACATGATGCTATACTTAATACATTCAATAAACTACCAATTGTTGGTTCTATTGTCAAATTTCCTGTTTTTTTATAAATTAATGTTGTTTCAATTGATGCACTAGTGTCATTTAATGCATATTTAAAAAATACATTTGACGCAACTGAAACAGCTTCATGACCTGATATTAAATTTGATGATAAAGTTTGTATTTTGTATGTATCTCCTTGTGGTGCAGGTAGTTCAAAACCCAGATAAATATCAGTATAAGTGTACGGACGATCCATGCGTTTTTCTAGAATGAAATATTTAATGTTTATTTTAATGTCTTTTTTCTTATATAGTTTAAACTTACGCCATATATATTTGTTCATTGCAGAAATATTTTCTGATCTTTGTTCGAGTACTAATCCATTTGACTTTGGCCCAATAGCTGCTTGAAAATAATTTTCCATCAGCGGATCAACTTTATAAAGAACTGTTTGTGGATTAAGTAAATTTGTTTCCATTTTAAAAGTACCACTTGCATTTTGACTTCGAGATATTACATTTGATAACAGATTATAAACTATTGGTAGTAATAAAACAACAAGCGTCAATCCCCAACGACGATAACGTACAAGTAATATTTTTATTGTTAGACCATGAAGTTGACTTAAATAATAACGCCAACCATGAAAAAATTGTCTTTCGCCGAAAACATAACGACACTGTTCATCTAAATAGAAAAAACAGATCTTTTCTTAATTAGAACTCTGAATTATTTAGAAACCATCATGAAGTTAACTATTATAAAGTTAACAAATGAATCCCAAATGAATGAAGTGGGTTCAAAGTACCAAGAAGAGTACTTTGCTCCAAGTATGTAACATGAACTTTTTGATACTTTAGTTATCTCAGGGCACTTTTGAGTTGTGTATTGCTTGACTTAAGAGTACGTCTAAGTGTTCAATCAACTGATTTGTAGGAACATTTTTCATACAACTCTGTACGAACTGGGCAAGTATTCGAGCAAGTATCTGATCAGTACCCACGTACTGGAACAATTCTCAGCAGGATACCCAACAAAAATCTTGTTTCATAATGATATTAGGATACCTTTTTGGACATCCTTCCGAAAACTGTCCCAGTACACAACTATCTTGAACACAGTAGATTCACAAAAGAATGGTATTATTTATAAAATACAACTGTCTGTATTGTTATGAATATTTGAAAAATAAAGTTTCTTTATACTGACAACATAAAACGATAAAATTCAATTGAATTCATTAAAATATAGACTTTCTACTTAGATTAATAAGCAGTGAAAAAATTTGATGTCGAATAAATTTTAAAATTCTTTCAAAACTTCTGGAACAGCACTGACACATGCTTGATTAAAATAAATAGTTTAATTAAAAAATAGCTAGAATTCCATCAATACTATTTTTTTTTCATTTATAGTTAAGCTATTACAAACCTATGTGTTCAATATTAACTGACGTTTTTCCAGAATCATTTTCATCTTTTGTCTCTTTTGTAATTTTTAAAAAAACATCATC